CCTCTAGCCAGGTCTGAGACCTAAGGGACCTTTTCTGGGTTCCTTTTATTTCGGTAGGCAAAGAGCGAGAGAACTTGGTCTCCCTCGGGCAGAGGTGCTTATTTGCATTCCCTCTAAGATCTCCAACGAACGTTCCCGGTTGGCAGACAATTCGCGAAAGGCTTAGCCGCGTTTACGGCGTCGTTAATCCGCCTTTATAATCACCGTAAAGCCACGCAAAGGCGAGTGCACTCGTACGATTCGGCATTTACGAGCGCCGGCACGCTCGCCGTTTATTATTGTCGATACCGAGAGAACCGCGTGTTACCGATACCGTCGACGAACAGTTCTGTCGTGCGTTATCCACGTTCTGTCCTCGTTCCTTTCAATTTTTCTCCTTTTTCTTCCGTTCGAGGATCGCGAGATCGCGAACATTTCATCCTCGATTTCGCGTCGCGGTCTTTCTTCTCCCATTCCCTCGAGATCTTTGTCGCGACTGCTTTGTCGAGGATGCAATATTCGCCAGCTCGTTCCTTATTCTTCCTCTTTTCCTCCTTTTCAATAAAATCCAATTAATCGACAGAAATATACGATAGATCGCTTTGGATGGGAGCGTTTCCACGGTTACGCACACGATTGTCTTCTCTAACAACTATTGCAATACTGTAGTTGGTTGTATTTTATTCCAAGTGACTATTGCGAACTATGTTCAACGGACTATTTAATCTGGGGGATACACCCGACTGGAGAGAGGATGGCGGAGTGCTCTCGCGATTGGGGGGCGTTCGTGTAAAAATATTTAATATGTATATGTACATTTCCGTATATACATATAATATACTTCTGATTGTATACATATATATATATTTATTTATTTATTTATATATATAGCTATATAAATACTGTCGTAGAAAACTATGATCTGCAGGGAAGGGTGTGAATCTGTCACTTCAGTGGAGAGACGAACGCACCCCGCCAACCCTTTTAACTATAATGCTTTCCTTATAACGTGTGTGTACGTGTGTGTACTCTCTGCAGCGTTCAACGAGTCTATACGTGTATCAGTGTACATCAATTGTCCCTGTATGTGTGTGCTGTGTACATGTCCCTATACAACGTATATTACCGCGACAATTGGCAAAACTGTCGCTCCTATTCGAATAGTTACCACAAAAAAAAAAATATTATGAAAACAAAAATTGACAAAAGACTAAAGAAAAACGAAGAAGAAAGTCTATCGACGAGATCACTGTGTTGTTCATCAACTTTTCACGCGGTCGATCAACGTTTGTACGGTACCGTTGATCGTCATGGAGGGTTGAAGTAACAGGGGAGACTCTTTCCGTGCAATCTCTTCTTCTTGTCGGTGACGAGAAAGAAAAGAATATTGTACGAAAATTACAAAAAAAAAAAAAAGAAAAACATACAGAAAAGATATAAGAAAAAGAAAGAAAGTCTTAAACCTCGTTGCGTTCGATTAATTATTCGCAATGGCACAAAGAAAACGATCAGCCCGATTTCCCATTTCCTCCCTTCGTCCTGATCCGGACAGACGATTCTTACGAACGTTTACGTTTCAAACGATACTTAGAAAACCTTTTAGCTTCCTCCTTCGATCGGTGTCTACTATTTTTTTCATTTTTCACCTTTATTTATTTATTTTTTTTCTTTTTCGTTATTTTTCCGTCTCTTCGTTTTCTTCTCTTTAAGATTCTCCTCCTCGGACAAACACCGCGGATAAATTTGTACTCTGCGAAGAATATTTTTTATCTCTTTTTATTTTCACGTATCTCCGGTTTCCTCCGCGTTCCTTCGTCATTCCCTTTTAACCCTCGTGTCCCGCGAACACGGTCGCGCCTGATCCGTAATATTTATAGAGAGCTTTCTTTTCAAGGCAAGAAGTGGTTTCTTTGTACCGATTAGACCTGGATTCGCGTCTCGATCGATCATTCCCGCATTCTCTCTCTCGATCTAAAACACGTCTATCCACGAAGCATCCCGCACGTATGCATATAAACTTCGTGACTCGACGACACGTGGATACGTGAGCGGGAAACGAGCGATTAAAAATTTCCACTGTCCATAACAATCGTTAAAATAGCACGGCTCCGAGGACACACGGCAGAGATCTTTGAACCGTCTCGATTTCAACCCCCTGCAACACGCCCGGGATCTCCGTGGCCTCTTCGCGCGATTCGTATACAAGTATAATCGATCGTATACAAATATACCCTCGTAAGTATATACACTATATAAAGTTTAAAAAATCTCGAGAATCTCAGCGTCGAAGCTCGGCCTTCGTACTAAACCCTTCGTCCTGATAAATCCGATAACGCGACAACGGCCAACGCGTGTTCGTGTAATTATTGTCTCGAATAAAAGATTACCATCTGTCACTAGCTTAAGTCACTAACGGGTAGAGCTCGAGAATTCGTACCGTAAGGGGTGGAGTCGACGCTGCTCGTCAAAAAGATTGCTCGTCTCGCGCGCGATCCACGGTCGATCGACGATGTTTTTTTTTAGCTTTTTAATATTTTTTTCCGTTTTTTTTTTTTTTCTTTTTTTTTGATTTCACGAATCTACGTAACTCTTATTTTTTCTCCCTTCTTTTTTGGACGTATCGTCTCGCGTAGACATACACAGTGTATACGTTTCCGTTCGTGAACAACGTATTCCTATCGTCAGTGGCCGGCGAAGTCGCCGAGAGTCCCTGTGTTTCATCGATAAAATGCTCTTATAGGCTAAGAAAGGGTTAGTATACTCCGAGTATTGTGTACAACCTACTAAACCTAGGCGAAAAAAAAAAAGAAAGAAAAAAACTGAAAATAGTTAACGAGACCTTGGAAAAGGGTACATCGCGTAAGTCGTCAGCTATATAATCGATTCTCTCATTTGCTCGCTGTCACTCTATGCACTTCCACGCACATTCGCGCAAGAATAAAAAAAAAGAACCAAAAACAGAAATAGAATGAAGAAGGACAAAAAAAAAGAATAATTACTATAATAGAGAACGTGAAACGGAAGAAATCCTTCGTTCAAACCGCGCTGCGCCACTACGTATTGCTAAGTTTCTCTTTTTCCTAGGCATATCTAATTATGTGTATGTATATATATAATATGTATTCTCAAGGTATACCGTAAATCAAAGTAGCTCGTGTATGTATTCAATTAGTAGGAACCATTTTAGTATTATACTTCTCGAGCCTGGACACGAAATCGCGCGCGTGCAGTTGCGATCTACGAATTCGAAACCGCCTGCTTTTCTACGTTTCTCTTTTTTCTTTCTTTCTTCTCTATCGTAATCATCACTCGGAGAACGAGAATCACGTTTCTAACATTCACGGGCGTGAACCAAACGAAACACAACAAGACCAAGAAACTCATGCATGCCTATCTTCGAATGATAAAGAGTGGAAAAACGAGAAGAAACATTACCCGATTTATAAATAACACGAGCCACGAGGGGGAGAGAGATCGCTGATCGAGATGAGTCAGTGCTAACGACACGTTCAAGAATGCGGAAAAGGCTTCGATGGATGACTCCAGAAAGAGCAAAACGAAGACTAAGTCTGAGCCCAAGACGAAAACGAAAACGAAGACAAAGATGAAGACGAAGGTGAAGACGAAGACGAAGAAGAGATGGCTTGTGGTTCTCGTTCCGCTCGTGACTCTATCGTTCCCCTAGCGTGACCGTTTCTCTTTCTTTTTCTCTCCCTCTTTCGTTATTTCTTCTCTTCTGAGAAACAAAAAAAATGAAACATTTATGTATGTGTGTGTGTATACATATATATACATATGTAGAAAAATGCACGAGCAACTAATCGTCTATGAGAAGATTTCGCCTACGGGTAAGAAATGGCGTCGTTACCCTCAAAAGAGAGAGACGAGAAAATCGTGGAAGTCGAAAAAGAACTTAAGTACTAGAAAAGTCATGGCAAGCCCTAGGGGGTTGGATCTTTGTTTCCGGTTCGATTAATCGACGGAGTCGATCGAATAAAGAACGAAAAAGGGGGTTGAAGCGTGAGACGGTGAAAGGAACGACGAAAGGGGATCGTTCTCGTTATTTAAGATTCTTCTTAAGTCGAGGCCTTCTTTTTTTTCTTTTCTTTTTCACAGTCCGCGAGCTACTTCGCCTAAATTTCGATTTCAGAACCGAGTAAAACGCATCATCTCGAGCATCGAGCAAGAACATCTCGCGTCATTCTGCTCGCTTCGAACTATCTCGAATTCTAACGAGACTCTATCTATCACGTTATCGTGTAACAGTTACACGCTTTTCAGGCTATCGAAGAAAGCGAGTCAACTTTGCCCAACCTACGCGTACATTTCCAAGGAAATAAGCCGTCAGAAAGATTTCTCGTTCGGCAATCGACACGATGAGTTACCCAGCCTTGTTCCGTTTTACATCCTGCCTCTTTCCACGAGTAGACGATTAACAATCGCAACGATCGTCGCGCTTCTAGAGCGACTCTAGATCAGCGAGACACGACCGCGCGTAATTTCCGCGCGTGTTCGAATCACGCGCGAGCTCATAAAATCTCCCATACGTATACGTGTGTCTGTATGTATATGTGTGTGTATTATCATACGTGAATATACATATATAGGAAAAAAAAGAAAAAAAAAAAAAAAGAATGAAAAGAACGTTACGACGTGAGCGTGTATTTAATGTACGTAAATGCCGTGTACGTGTGACTGTAGGTGAGTGTATACTTCCAAAGTGCACACATCTAAAAAATACATGGGGGTGCTAAACCCTAGCGCTACACGTATCCAACTCTACTCGTTATTTCAATGCGTTTCTCATCTCCGATTATTAGTTTCATTCTCCCTTACGTCTGTATCCGTGTACGTACGTACGTGTCGTGGTACACTAACTTCTCTATAAATCTAGACAATATATATTTTTCCTCAACATTCATATATAATAATAATAATATCTTCTCGGGAGCCGCGTGGTACGCGACGGTCACCGTTCTTTTTTTTTCTCTCTCTCTCTCTCTCTCTCTCTCTCTCTTTCTTTTAAACCTTTAGAAAATAAAAAGAATCAAACAGTTGCCCTGGCGTCACCTGGCTTCTCGGTTCGCTCGCATACTCTCTCTTTATAGTTCGCGACGATCGAAGCGTCGCTGCTTCGACCCCCGTAGAAACGCGGCCATTGTGGCCACGTGTACGGCGTTTACCTTCTCCTCTTTCTTTAAATCGTTTCAACGCGACTAAAATCGTGAGTAACCATGGCGATACGACTCTCTTTTATCTCCGATCGCCTCACCGTTCGTTCTCCTCTCATCAACTTCGTCATCCATGAGATTCGTCTTGGTCTGTCCTATCACTTATCGTTTATCGTGTTCACTGAGGTAGACAGATGGAATATTTTAAACGGGATTAAAAAAACTGTATACTCGCATATACACGCGTGTACTTGTGTGTGAGTGAGTGTGTGTATGTGTTTCGACGTAGACAAACGAAAAAGCTCCGTTTTGTTACTCGAGCGTTAGCAAAGGAGGGATTCGTTCTCCGACCGATTGGAACCGGCCCAGTGTATACGTGTGTGTGTGTGTGTGTGTGTGATCGGCAAATGACTTCGTTTCCTCATCTTCTTTCTTCTTCTTTCTTTGGAAAAAAAAAAAACAAAAATTCTATCTCCCGCAACGAAAAGAAAACAGGGGTAAGTCTCTACTGAGGTAGTGGATGGATTTGACTGCGAACGAAGAGAGCGTGGCTGGACCGAATCGAATCCTAGTCACGCCTCTCTCCAAAGCACTTCCTAATCGGGTCACGTGTCACGAACTCTGGTCGCAGATTGCCGCGAGCGTGCCACTTATTCAGCTTTAACGATCTCCGGCTCCTCGTTCTCGCTAAAATCATCCTCTTCTCCGCCGGACGATTCGCCTTCTTCCATTAGACCAACGTGCCTGTCCTGCATCGTGTCCTGTCGATCCTCGTGTACCACTCCCGGTCCTCGACCCTCGTCTCTACCGATCATGGGATAGTCCTCGATCCCGCGACCCCCTAACTTATCCATCGCGCTCATGTGAGCCATCTTGGCCGCGTGTGCGGCCGCCACGGCTGCAGCTTGCTCGGGGCTGAGCCCCATCGTCGCCAATCCGGAATTCTCCGCGATAAATTGAAGATAAGTGTCGAGGATCGCTGATCCCGTCGCGCTAGCGTTATGGTGACTCGGATGCAGATGTCCAGGTGGATGAAGGGGCGCCGTGTTAGGTTCACGGCTACCGTGCAAGGTGTCCATAGATTTGGCCGCTATCGCGGTCGCTGTCGAGTTCTTGTTACTGCTACCGCTGTTGCTGCCGCTGACTTTGGTGATCACAGTGTTATTGTTGGGCGTGGGTGATCCATACCTGAGGCTGAGCGGCAACGTGAGATCCTCCGGATCGTCTCCACCGCAGATGCTGCTTCCCGCCTCGGATGGCGCGCCACCGCGAGGTATCTCCAGTCTCATGTCGCCCCTTCTTGGTCCCGTGGGACTGGCACGAGCTCGTAACTCCGCGGGACTCACCTTGACGCCCGCCTTGGCCAACAGGCGCGATGCCAGCTCCGGATCGAACGGACTGGGCATCGGGAGAACCGGTAGATCCTTGGTGCTGATCCCGCGATGCTGCCGGGACATGTGCGAGTGCAACGAGTTCCTCGACTTGGCCACGGTGCCGCAGAGCACGCAACGATAGCCCGGACAGATCGTGTGCTTATCTTCCAGGTGGGTGCGCAACGTGTGGGCAGATCGATAGATCTTACCGCATTTCGGGCAGGGACGTGGATCTGTGGCACGGACCCGTATAAAGTCCAAACCGCGGCGGGCTGAAAAAAGAAGACAAACAAAAGGCTGATGAAGGCGAGTTTCCCGAGTGAAAGTCGTCTGTCTTTTTGTTGGAACTTGCGACTGGTGGTAGCAAGCCCCGTATGGAAACCATGGAAAGAAAAAAAGCCAAGTCGATAGAAAAACGAAAGATAGAACTGAAGGAAAAAGAAGCGTTGTCTCGTTGTACCGCTCAATCGTGGAGTATATCTATCGGTAAACCGAACAAAGGTGGATCTCCATGGAACGAAGATTGACGAGCCGTGTCAGCTTCTTTGAATACCTTTTATTGTACAAAGCATTACTTAAATAGTATATACTTCATTTCGTGTGTCTTATGTATAATCTTACGTACGCTAGTATCTGCTAAAATAGTGCGTATGATGCTCTATACATTGTCCGTGGCACGAGCTGTCGCCTGTGAAAGCGGTTTTCATCTAGTCTGGAGACCGGAGAGTGATACCGAGACACGGCTTGTTGGGACGTCTAGGTTGCCGAAAAATAAACGGGGTACGTAACGAACGTTCGAGACTAGTCGTGATCATCGTCTACCGAGAATTGCAGTCGTTTCTTTCTCCAACCGTTTGCGCAACCAACAACTCGTGCACGCGAATATATAATATATTTGTATTTATATAATTTCCTCGTAATTTATTCGCAGCGTATCCTCTAGTAACTATCGTACATTGTGTGTCGAAAAAACTTAACCTGTCTGGGGAATATTCTTTACCTAGGGAATACTGACGAAAAAACAAAAGACTGTAGAAAAATAAGGCTAGGCGCTGTTCGAATCGACTGTTCGTCGTGTGCTGGTCGATCGTTTTCTCCAACGTTTGCTGGGCGCGATCGGATAACGATTACGGAAGCATCGCAAAACTAGTCTCGATACGCGTCCAACGGTTTCCCAATTTTCGCCGTTTCGTTCTTCAGCTGCTACACGTTTATAAACTCGACTATACTCGTTCGGCTCGTATCTAAAACACTTCTCGACGCGTTTCCTTACATTCTTCCTTAAAAACTACGCTCGTTAACGTAAGGCTGGCTTACTCAGCTTTAGAGGAACATTGTTTTCTCTTGTTAAGATACGTTAACCTAACCGTTATTATATCATCGTCAACATCGTAGTCTTTATAAGCAACGTCGACCTTATCATTACACGATCTCTATTGGTTTGACTACGGTATGTTTTTTATCCATTTTCTTAATCAGGCTCTACTAGAAATACTGCTTCGTACATTTTCTTTTTATACAAAATCAACTCTTTCTCTCTCTCTTTCTATATATATATATATAGATTTACTCTTTATATATAAGGTGGGTGCTCTTGTGCGACGTTCCGAGAATAAAGCACTAAAAGAGGGGCAATCATCCTAGACGTAACTCGCCCCGAAATCATTCTCGACCCTCCTCCCCTCCTCCGCCCCCTCATGCCATACCAACGTTATACTTACGTTCAACCAGCTCGTAATATCGCGTATACAACCCCTTCGAACGTTTATAGACTCTGGCACGCGAGACCTTTTCGTTGAAACGCACCCTCCTCCACCGCGTCCAAGAAACAAATATCGAGACACGTGTGTGCAATCGATAAACGTCGGAATAAAGGGGAAACAAAAACCCGTTACGATTTCAAGGATATCGAACGATAACGAATCGCGAGAGTCTACGAAAAAGGAAGCAAGATCGAAAAGGGCAAGTAATAAAAAAAGAAAAAAGAGAGAAAAAAATAACGAAAAACAATTGGAAAATAGAGAAAAATCGCGACAACGGATAAAGAATAAAAAAAAATAAAAAGAAAAAAAGAAAGAAAGAAAATGACTACGGGAATCCAAGAGATGCCCAGCGTCCGTGCATTGCCTCTTTATCAGACGTAAGTCCATCTGAGCGTCTTTATCTGATCCCATTGCACCGGATGCTTCAAACGCATATGATTTCTCACGCTGTTAGGGTGAGAGAAGGTTTTCGCGCAAGAGGCAACGGGACAGGTGGGCGAGTCGCGTGGATAATGATGCTCCAAGTGAGCCCTCATCGTGCTGATGTCCTGCAACGTCCTACAACAAAGGGGACACCTGTAACCGTGTTGTTGATGATGATCACGGATCATCTTTTGCTGCCTGTAGTCCGCCGGGCTCCGTTGATACTTGGTCGTGGTGGTGGTGTTCGTGGTCGACGCGGTGGTCGTCGACTGGTCTTGCTGCTGCTGCTGTTGCTGCTGCTGCTGCTGCTGCTGTTGCTGCTGCTGCTCGTCTTCCTGTAGCGCCTGATGATGATGATGGTGAAGAGGAGGAACGGATAGTGGATGATGATGACGATGCCGATGATGTTGCTGGTGATGGCTGTGGTGGTGGTGGTAAGCCGCGCCCTCTGCCTCATCGAGCCCGTGATCTGCAACCACCACCACACCAACGTTACCACCAGCCACCACCACCATAAACTCAAACCCAACCCCTAATAAAAACAGAGAGTACCAAAGCGCGCGAATGTGCGTTCCACCCTACCCCACCGATCCTATCCTACCCTCTCCTATGCACCCACATCCCCATTGATTCATGCGGAATATCTAGAGAGGTTACATCTCCCGCAAATGGTTACCGGTTTCTGGTATATCTGGCGGATCGCTAATTGCTCTCTCTCTGCTCGATATCGCGCGCAATTGGCAGACAGAGGACTGCACGGAATTCGCGCAATCATCGCGTAAATCGAATACTGAAGGGAGAGATGCTTGAACGTGTCCGGGCAGAATCTCACGTGCCAGATTATTACGGAAAGCGTTCGATTCTCTCTGTGGATATATACGTGTATACTTGTGGTGGCTGAACAACGCTTCCCCGGATATTATAGTTGGTAACAACGATATAGTCTAAAAACCAGACACGCGCGTTTTGGCTGGAAGGTGGCGGAGGCGTTCGTAAGCGTTCTTTGTCATAGGTTACTCGAAAAATACCCCCTTACCCCGTCCGTCCGAATATTTTTCCTCTACTCGAACGATCGGTCAGCAATCGTGGCTAGACTTTTGGTGGCGTGCTTTCTCCGTTCTCCGAACGATATGCCCGAAATCTCGTTACGGAACCCCCTTTTTCTTTCGTACCATCTCTGTTCTCTCTTTGTTCCGCATGTACGAGGATAATCGTGATCGTGGAACGTTAAGCGTGCCTGGTTACACACTCCGAAACCATCGGGTTTCGCCCCCTGCCCTCTTTCGCAAGGGTACGCGATCGCTTCGTCTGCCATCTGTTTAAACTCTATATAGAAAATAGGAATCTGAACGCGACCTCGCTGATACAGGTGGCCACACCTCGAACGTCACGCGTTCGAACGGTTTTAACTTGCCTCGTGGACGACGCGTATAAATACGAATCAGGGCATAACCTGGTTCGCCCCGATTTCTCCAACGTTCTCCCTTTTGTAAAAATAACGCGACGACGACGATGATTTCACCGAATCGAATCGACCCCGAGCAATTTCCATCCATCGGACACGACCGACTGCACGTTCGAACTTTAAAATAACCCGGCTCGAGATATCGTATCGTCGCTCTACCGATTACGGCCATTCTGTATCGAAGGAAGTCATGCGGCGACCACTCCCGACTTCATCTGGTCGCGGATCGTTTTTCGTGGGTAGTACTGTTCAACGACAACGGAACGATGGCAGACGAGGAGGACCGTACTCATGGCAACGAGGAGGACGAAGAGGGCGACTGATGCTGCTGCTGATTAGGATTGTTCAGACTGGGCCGTTGATGTATCCCGTGCGCCTGAAGCTGATGATTGATCAGGTAATGCTTGGTCTTGCACCGTTTTCCGCACACGTTGCACTGCGGCCACGTCTCCGGCGGCGGCCAATTCGAGTGGACATTTTTCACGTGTTGCCGAAGGTTGCTCGGCGACGAGTAGCTTCTGCCGCAGTAACGACAGAGAGGCCTAGCATCGTCGTGGCGCAGTGCCGTGTAGAGTCTCGCGAAATTCTCCACGGCTTGCGTAGTTTCGCTGGCGGCCACAGCCACCGCCGCCATCGCGGCTTCCTCCCTCTTCGGCATCACCGATCCTACAACCAGGACGTGCCCGTCAGTTGATTCTGTCGCCTTTCTCTCTCTCTCTCTCTCTCTCTCTCCCTCCCTCTCTCTCTCTCTCTCTCTCTCTCCCTCCCTCTCTCTCTCTCTCTCTCTCTTTCGCTTCTTTCGCATCTTTCTTTCTTTCTTTCTCTCTTCTCCTCTTTTTATACCTCCCCTGCCTCTCTCTCCCGCTCATGCTCTCTTTCGCTCACGGGATTTATTTCTCTCTGTCGTTCGCACGTTCGTTCTTTTTCTAACTCCTATCCGCTACATTTGTTCTCCTCTCTTTCTCTTCTCCACGCACACAGACCTATAACACAGTCTCTCTCCCTCTCACGTACGTGCACACGTATAAAGCCTCTCTTTGCACCGACACACGCCCACGCACGAGTCACACACGTGTGACCAGCCTCTCACACGAGTTCCTTTCCTCTTTCTTACTCTCTCTTGCTCTCGTCTCTTCAACGTTTTCTCACTTTCTCCCTCGTTCGTGTTCCGCACCCTCGGGGCCACACGCTATCGTACCCGATCGATCTATCTTCTTCCTCTCTTTCTCTTTCTCTCTCTCTCTCTCTCTCTCCCTCTCTCTCTTTCCTTCTTGCTCTACCACGTGCACACAGGCTGCACTCCATGCACACGCACTCTCATACCTGGACACACACGCACGCAGGCTACTCTCGTACTCTCAGGGCATGCCCGGTTGTAGGATGTTTGGTGTGTTGTTGTTGTTGTTGTTGTTGTTGTTGTTGTCGATGTCGATGATGTTGTAGCTGTCAACGCTGATCTCGTTTAAAACTTTGCGCGTTGACGAAATTCGCGCGTAGATCACGCTAGGATTAGGCTACCTGCGCGCACACGCCGACTTCGATGCATCCCTTGTGGATTCTAAAGCGTACTTTGAAGCTCGTTAATCGAAATCGGACTCGTGTCTCGTTCCCTTTTCCATTG